CTTTCCCTCATCTTGGGCCTCCTTATTCTCTGAGACATAACAATATCGAAATTAGGCCAATTAATGATCCTGCAATGGCCTGTAGGTGTTCAGATGAAAGGAAGACTCGCACATCTCTCATTTTAAAGCAAAAACTAGAAATGATTAGACTTAGTAAGAAAGGCATGATGAAAGCCAAGAGAGGTTGAAAGCTAGGCCTCTTGCGCCAGTTAGCCAAGTTGTGAATGCAAAGAAAAAGTTCTTGAAGGAAATTAAAAGTGCTACCCCAGTGAACACACAAATGATAAGAATGCAAAACAGCCTTATTGCTGATATGGAGAAAGTTCAGGTGGTCTGAATAGAAGATCAAACCAGCCACAACATTCCCATAAGCCAAAGCCTAATCCAGAGCAAGGCTCTAACTCTCTTCAATTCTATGAAGGCCGAGAAAGGTGAGAAAGCCGCAGAAGAGAAGTCTGAAGCTAGCAGAAGTTGGCTGCCCGTGAACTTTCCCCATAATGTCAAAGAGCAAGGTGAAGCAGCAAGCGCTAATGTAGGAGATGCAGCAAGTTATCCAAAAGGTGTAGCTGAGATAATTAACGAAGGTGGCTATGCTAAACAACAGATCTTCTCTGTACATGAAATAGCCTTATACTGGAAGAAGAAGCCATCTAGGACTTTCATAGTTAGAAAGGAGAAGTCAATATCTGTCTTCAAAGTACAGGCTGACTCTCGTGTTAGGAGCTAATGCAGCTGGTGACTTTTAAGTTGAAGCCAATGTTCCTTTACCATTCCGAAAATCCTAAGGCCTGTAAGAATTATGCCAATCTACAGTCTATGCCTTATAAATGGAAAAATGAAGTCTAGATGACAGCACATCTGTTGCCAACATAGTTTACTAAATATTTTAAGCCCACTGGTGAGACCTATGCTCAGAAAAAAGATTCCTTTCAAATTATTATTTCTCATTAACAATGCACCTGGTCACCCAAGAGCTCTGATGGAGATGTACGATGATATTAATGTTGTTTTCATGCTTGCTAACACAACATCCATTCTGCTGCCCATGGATCAAAGAGTCATTTCGACTTTCAAGTCTTATTACTTAAGAAATACATTTTGTAAGGCTATAGCTGCCATAGACAGCAATTCCCCTGATGGATCTGGGCACAGGCAACTAAAAGTTTCTGGAAAGCATTCACCACTCTAGATGCCAGAAGGACATTCGTGATTCAAGGGAAGAGGTCAAAATATCAACATTAACAGGAGTTTGGAAGAAAGTGATTCCAACCCTCATGGACGATTCTGAGGGGTTCAAGACTACAGTGAAGGAAGTTACTGCAGACGTGGGGGAAACAGACTCATTGTTCTCTACCCCAGAACTCGGTTTTCTTCTGAGAATATATCATAACTTGCAATTTTTTGATGCTGTTTCCTTGTATTGTCTAAGTCCCATATTAGAATGTAAGCTCAACAAAGGTAGGGATTATCCAAAGAGGAAATAGCAAAAGTATACCAGAGAGCAACTGCTACGGAGTTGATAACAAAACAGAGACACCAGATGTTAAACAGCATTGCAGGCACATTCAATTTCCAGCCAAAAAAAGAGTGGAGAAACCTTGATGATTTCCTGCACATTGAGGTGAGACATCTTGGGAGAAAGAACCATGCTCTAAAGCAAGGCCTACTCTAGTACTATCTAACATAGCCTTGTAATACCAAACCCTAAAAGATCAAAAGGGGAGTAGAGTTTGGAGTCCTTAAAAGGACTTGGGAAACAACTTGGTCTTTAAACACATCTATATTTACAAAGTAAAAAACTAAGGCTCCAAAAGTTAAGGGTTATCAGCAAGTAACTGGACATCTTATTAAAATGAAAATCAACACTTGTCAAAGAAAAATAACAAAATTCAGAGTCTCTATCACATATCAAAAAGGACCTGTACATAATTTTAAAATTACCTGACAGGCAAAGAGGAAAATGTGACTCATCATCAAGAAAAAAAGCAGTCAATAGCAAACATCCTCAAAAGATGTTGGATTTAGCTAACAAATACTTTAAATATTTCTTATACATATGTCCAAAGGCCTAAAAGACAGTATGTTAATGAAAAAAAGGAAAAAAATAGTCTCAATGAGTGAACAGAAGTAAATACCAACAGAGAAATGGAAACCAATTGAAAAAAAGAACCAATTGGAAGTTCTATAACTGAAAAATAACTAAAATGGAAAATTCTTTGGAAGGGCTTAACAGAGAATGGAGATAGAAGGACATTCAGTGAACCTGAACACAAATCAATCTAGAGAATAAAGAGAAAAATGAATAAATGAAAATGAATAGAGACTTAAGGGCCTACAAGACAATTTTAAACCGTCTGAAATATGTGTAAATATAAACGGACGAAACACAATTCACAGGCAGAGATTATGAGAATTAAAAAGCAAAACCTAACCTCATATATTTTAAATATAAGATCAAACAGGTTAAAAATAAAAAGATAGGAAAAGATACACCATGCAAACAGCAAGGATAAGAAAGTAGACAGAGCAATATCAATAACAAAGTAGACTTCAAGGCAAAGAGAAAAAAAGGATAATTCAGATAAAAGGAGTAATAATTCATCAGGAAGGCATTAAAAATTCTAAATATGTTTGTATCTAATAAATAAGCTTAAAAATTCATGAAGCAGGGCTTCCCTGGTGGTGCAGTGGTTGAGAGTCCGCCTGCTGATGCAGGGGACACGGGTTCGTGCCCCGGTCGAGGAAGATCCCACATGCCGCAGAGCGGCTGGGCCCGTGAGCCATGGCCGCTGAGCCTGCACGTCCGGAGCCTGTGCCCCGCAACGGGAGAGGCCACAGCAGTGAGAGGCCCGCGTACCGCCAAAAAAAAAAAAAAAAATTCATGAAGCAAAAATTGACAGAACTAAAGAAAGAAACAGGCAAATCCTAATTTCAGCTGGAAATTTTAACATCCCTTCTCAGTACTTTATATAACAAATAAATAAAACATCAATATGGATAGAAAGAAAATACAGCCCAGGATGAAAACTGCCTAATCAAATTATAATTAGAAAGGTTATTATATCAATGGTTTATATCACTTATTATTTTGAAATACTTTGAAATTTAAAGTATTTTAAAATATTTTGAAATTTAAAGTGTTTTGATACACTGTAACTTTACATGAAAAGAACCCTATATGCCAAGGGCCAAATAAGTTATGATGAGGGTCACAGATTATATCCATCTTCTATATTAAATTACTAAACTGGAAAAACAATTCCTTTGATTTGTATGGTGTTATGTCATTTATAGAATGCTGAAAATAAATATATGGGAAAGCAATATGAAAACATGGGTGGGAGGGTGGGGGATTAGAGTATGAAGAACCCTAGTCTTAAAAGTAGAAATCCCTTCCACAGTAGACAGACCAGATTCTTACTTAGCAAATTATCTCAAAGCAAATGCTCACTCCACCAATGCTTTTAATAAAATGTTGTGGGTTTTTTTTAAAGTTTAAAACATTACTAAAAAGAGACAGCTAAGGTACTCTCTCTTCTGTATTTATGCCATTCTTCAAATGTTCACTTATTCTAAGAATAAATCGGATTTCAGTGTTATCTTAACTTCATTAGAAAAAGCAATCATATAACAGTTAAGAG